TTTTTTTTTCCCCCCCCCTTTTTTTTCCTCGTCTTCCTTTCTTTTTTTTTCCATGCATTGCTGAAGTGTACACAGTTGTATATAAACCTTATATGGATATATACATACACGTAGACACACATCAATAAAAGAGAGAAGAGAAGAGAAAAAAGAAAAGAAGTAAATAAATGTAGAGCTGCAGCAACTGAAGAGAATAGAAAGAGAGGAATATGATGATTTCCTCTTTTTTTGTTGTTGTTTGTTTGTTTGTTTGTGAGTTTGTAATTCTCTCAGTGTTGTGTGCATTTCCCCTCACCTTTCTTTCTCTCTTTTGTATTACCAGTTCTTCTTTTTTTTTTAAATTTATTCTTCTTTATTATTACTATTACTATTATTTTCTCATTCTCTTGTTTTTTTTTTTTCTTTTCTTTATTTCTTTATTTCTTTTTTTTTTCATTCACTCATTCATTTATCAATACTGTTCTTCTTTTTTTTTTTCTTTTTTTTTTCTTCTTTTTAAAATGTTTTCATATTCACATTACTCTATTTCTCTTTACCAAGAGGGAGAAAGAGGGTTATTCTCTCCTCTCTCCTCTCTCTCTCTCTCTACACATATATATATATATAAAGGCACTGAGAGAAGACGGAACACATTTTTAAAAAAAGAAAGAAAGAAAGAAAAGTTAATCACAAGTGAAGTTCAAAGAAAAAAAAAAAATATACACATAGAGAGAGAAAGAAAAGGAAAGAAACTAAAGAGATCTACCATATATATACTAATATCTATATATATATATATATAGATATATATACTTTATCATTCACAGGTATTTGAGAATGCGAGTAAGAACACGGCGTGAGGGAGTCACCTCCGATCTCACCGCGGCAGAATCCTTCTCTGATCTCACACAAGCACTCATCAAACAACAACAACAAGAAGAAGAAAAACAAGAAAAAGAAAAAGAAAAAGAAGAACAATCTACAAACTCTCATGATGTGAACATCACGGCTATTCATTATAATATCCGTCGTGCCTCTCGCACGGCAGTTCTCCTTCAGCAGATACACCACACCTCACAGCCCGAATCCATCTCCACCATCACTGTATCGAATAGCGATAAGCATGTAGATGTTAATAGTGAAATACATCAGGCTCTCATAGCGGCAGCAGATGAATTGGATCGCCATTCAGCATTTAATAAACTCTCACATATACTTACAGAGGCATTTCAGTGGCGTGGTAAATCTACACGTTTATCTGATGATGATGATGATAAGAATGATAATATGTTGATTGTATCTACACAAGTCGCACGGGAGTTGCCGGCACGTTGGGTGATGCAAAGTTTAAATGAAATCAAAGAAGTGCATTCCACACGTGAGAGAGTCACACTGTTAGACCGAGGGACAACCGTTTGTCTACGCAATAGTAATAGTGATAATAATAATAATAATAATAATAATAATAATAATAATAATAATAATAATAATATGAATAGTAACGGTCAGGAGAAGAAAGGGAAGGAGAATGATCATTTGCTGCCAACAACAACAACAACAACATCAACACTGTACCGAGTGGTAAACGTGGCTGATATGATTGGCCAGGAGTACTGGGTAGATATTGAGAAAGTCCAAACCCCTCTTTCTATGAATACTTCTATGAATTCTTCTTCGTCTGTGTGTATACGGCGTGTGGATTGTGATGCGATTAAACTGCAGCCCCCGCAATTAATTTACTTTGATGCATTATTGCCCGCAGATGAGATGTACAACCCGCGGGGAACCTCCACGTGTTTATTTCTCGCCGCTACACTCGCCGTGCGGGGACTCTCATCATCCAATCGAATAGAAAGAGGAGGAATAATAATAATAAAAAGAAGAAGAACAAGAAGAAGATCATTAGAGTTGCAGCCACAACAACAACAAGAAGAAGAAGAAGAAGAAGAAGAAATGGATAAAGTGTTAAAAGAATTACCAAAACGTATTGCACTTCGTATGGCTCTCGCTGCACGAGAGATGCGAAAACAACTTTACACCCAACGCCTTTCACGACGTGAGAGTTGTTATGTAGATAGACAAATGACTGGAATGGTGGAAGTGCATATGAGCCGTGATGGGGTGAGATTACATTACGGTGGGGAATCTGTTGAACTTCTCCATCGGTCTATGCAGCGATTGGCATTATTGTGGGATGCACATGTACACCGTGAGAAGAGAGAAATAATGAAAATGATGAAAATGATATCAAATAGGAAATACAACCAAAGTGCATTGGAGTTGTGGAGAAACGCTACAGCTCAACTTACCTCTATAATCTCCACAACAATAAGAGAAAAAGAAGAAGAAAAAGAAGAAGAGGGAAAAGATGTGGAATATAGTTTCTCTACACAAGAGCCATTCTATCTACGTACCTTTACTATGTTATTACGCTATCGTGCTCTCTTTGGAGATCTTGGGTATAATCAAGGTCCACACGCTGCGGTCCCACCATGTGTATTGCAACAACTACACACGGCCTTTGATATTCAATGTGAGGCCTTTGCAAGTCCATTGAATGCACAACTCCCACGATTTGCCTCTTTGTTTCCAGATACGGATTATTACTTTGGTAGTTTGGGTGCTTTCTTTGATTTATCTTTAGTCTCTGGACATTATGAAGTTAATCCACCATTTGTAACGGCTGTACTGCAGCGATTACAGACATTACTCCTACGGGATACACTTCCACATTACAATCATGAAGATGCGGCATCTATGTTATTTGTGCTGGTACTCCCCTCACATGATTTGGATGAGGCCGAGCGGAATATCTTAACAACAACAACAACAACAAGTATGATTGAAAGTACAGATGTGAAGCATAATGATAATAATAATAGTAGTCGTTTTGGACTTCATGATAGGTCGAGTCCTATAGGAATGGACTCTCAATCCAATAGAAAACGACATCGTGGGAGTGATAAGGGAGTGAAGGAGGACTATACCAATGAAGATGGAAATAACAACAATAAGAACAAGATGAATAAAGGGAATGGGAGTGTTGAACGTGCATTGCGTGAGAGTTCTTTTTGCATTGCACATACCCTTTGTGCTGCTTCTGAGTCTGCATATGTGGATGGTCATCAACATGTATTGCGTTCTCCACTTTTCTGTATTAATTCCCCAACACGATTGATTGTATTAGGGAACTGCACGGCCCGTTGTCGGTATAGTGATGCTGCTGAACGACTGGCGGCTGTGCGGGATACCTGGACTCACTATACACATGACTGCAGAGAGAGAGAGAGAGAGAGAGAGAATAATGGGAGTATGGGAGTAATGTGATGGATGAGTGAAGGATTGGGTGTATTCCTGATGTTTCTTTCTCTTGTTGGATTATTATTGTTATTATTATTATTATTATTATTAATAT